TGCGTCACAGAGCTGCGCACCCAGAGCTCGTGTGACCTGATCAACCAGTGGCACCCTGATAAATTCAGTAACAAATTTAAAAAATCAAAAATAGAAAAAGGTAATTGGCTCTCCACAGACTGGAAAGGTGGGTGGTGGATGGATGGGCGGCTGAGACTGGGCTCGGGCGAGACTGGGCTCGGGCGAGACTGGCAGGGCAGTGCTGGCCCGTCTCCATGGAGACAGCAGCCACACTGGCCTCTGCCTCCCACCCTGGCAGCAGCATTTCTTAAACGGGGCCGAGATGAGTCAGCCACCCCACCAGCACCCTGCCAGGAGCGGGTGGTGATGCCTTCCTGGAGGGTCAGAGCCCAGCCCGGGCGAGGGCGAGGTATCTGTGCTGGTCCCCTGCCGGCTCCGTGCCGGCTGAGCTGTGAGGGGTCCCCTTGGGGCTCAGAGAGGAAGGGTGTGACCCTGAGGTTCTTCGTCCCAGAGTGGACACGTGGGGGACAGTGGACCTTGGCTGGCCTTGTGGCTCCTGTCTCCTCCAGGGGCTCCTCGAGGCTGCCCGCCGCTGCTCAGCATGGAGGCCCCCTCCCCTCGCCCTCCTCAGCTCTGTCGTGGGCTCTGCGTTGGGGCGTGAGTGTGTGTGAGTGAGTGTGTGTGTGTGTACACACATATATTGGGGCAGGAGGAGGCAGAAGTACCAGAAACAGGCCAGGCGGGTAGGGGACTGAGCCTTTAGACAGAACCACCTTCCTGAGGAAGCTCTTTAGAGACCTGAAATCTGACTGATGACTGCCTGGTGCGGAACCCCACGCGCGGGTCCCGGAACCCCAGCGGAAAGGGCGTCAGAAATGGGGAGAGGGGGCCTGGGCTGTGGGAGCCTGGGCTGGCTGTGGGACCCTGGGTGCGTTCTTCAGTTCCTCGGAGCCTCCCCTTCCTTTCGCGTGAAATGGGGACGAAGCGCTGCCCCGCCTGCCCCACGGAAGAGGGGTTTGAGTTCCGGCTCTCCTCCGCGCCGCTGGAGGACTCGGGGTCGGGGGGTCGGGGGGCGAGGGGGCTTCGTTTCCTGGGCTTCGGTCTCCTCCCCTCACACTGGGGGTTGCTGGTGGCACTCCTCTCGGGGTTTTCGTGAGCGTCAGATGGGACGCTGCGTGGGAGTGTGCAGCTTGGCGTGTGTCACACGGTGAGTCTTCAGCGCGTGCTGGCAGTTGTTTTCCCAGCACTGTCGCGAGGGCCGGAGGAGCTTCCGTGCTCGAAAGCCCTTTGAAGACTCCAGGTGCCCATTCGTCGTGATTCTTTTCTTGAGTCCGAGCCTCTCCAGGTCGGGTTCCAGCCACAGGCCCGCTGGCTGAGAAGCAGAGGCCACAGCCACCAGTGCCTAGGTGGGCTCCCCTGTCCAGGGCCAAGTATGTGCGTGTGCACGCCTGCCTGTGGGCACACACTGGGGCGAGCACATGTGCGCAGCAGGGAGTGAGGGGCCTCTCCCGCTTTCATTGTTTCAGCGTGCGGTCCTATTATCCTGGGGCAGGGCCGTGTTCCTCCCCAGATAACACTGTTTCCAAAACCCACTGCTGCCACAGAGCCCTAAGCTGTTAGGTTGGCCCGGCTTTGTGAAGAAGTGCCCGTGCGTGGCCTGGGGGCTGAGGCCCTGGCCTTGAGGCTTTGGGGTTCATTCAGTGACCTCTTCTTTCCCCACCCCTGCCCCCTCGCCCCAGCCTGGCTAGACGCGGATGCCCCGGAGGCTGCGGCCCTGCTGGGCGGGTCATGGGGCAGGGAGGCTCTGAGCGGGCGGCGCGGGGATGAGATCATCCCACGGGATGGTGAGGACACCTGTGCCGGCCCTGGCCGCACACGCAATGATGTAACCAGGGCTTTAGCTCGCGATGGAAACATGGGGTTTGCTTTACAGTCAGGGCTGCCCAGAGCTTGTCCCTGGCTGTCCCAGCTGCGGCCTTGACTCTCTTGCTCCCAGCTTCTGCACACGGCCCCCCCCAACCCCGGTGCCCTTCGTCCTCCGCTGCCACACACCGCCGCTGCGTCCTTCCTCGGGCACACCCGCCCGTCACCTCTGCTTTGCTCGCGCGCACCTTCCCTTCCTGCCTCGCGCGCTCGCCCGCCCGGCAGGTCTCACCGAGGCACCGCTGCGTGTGTGCCAGGCACGGCCTCGGGGGCGGGTGGAGCCGCGAGGAAGGCACAGTTCCTGCCCACAGAGGACTCACGCCGGGGGGAGGCGGACGGGGCCGTGGTCCCCTATGGTGCTGCGAAGGGGCAGTGCAGGCGCTGACCCCCCGCTCTCTGGCCCCCCCTCAAGGCCAGCTCAGAAGGCACTCCTGCCGCGAAGCCCTTCCTGACCCGCAGCCAGGGGTGCGTGCTGCCTCGCCCGCACCCTGAGCACGCGGGGGGTTGCTTCATTCATTCACCTATAAATACTCAGTGAGCGTGATTCCGCACCAGGCGGTGTTCTGGGGGCTGACGGCACAGCAGTGAGGAGCGCGGTGAGTCATGCCGCTGGCATCTCCGCGGGCAGCTGGCGAGGGTGGGCACACACGGCAGGCTCACAGAGGATAGCGTGTCGGGTGGCCGTGCGCTCTGTGAGGGTAAACACGGTGCGAGGATTAAGAAGTGCAGGGAGGGGGGAGGTGGCTCTGAGGAGGTGGTGCGAGGACAGCCAGGGAGCGGCAGCGTGATGCTCATGTGGCGGGTGAGGGCCGAGCCCGCAGGGCCGCGTGGCCGGGGTGCCGCGAGCGCGGCAGAGGGCGGCAGGAGGCGAGGCCAGCGCGCTGATGGGGCCCCCGGACCAGGAGGCCGTAAGGAAATGGGAGCTGTGGAGGTGCTGTGAGCAGAGGAGCCCCCGGCCAGCTCTGTTTGAACAGCCTCCGCCTGGCTGCCGCGCTGAGGACGGGCTGGAGCCAGGCCAGGACGGGAGCAGCGAGTCGGGGAGGAGGGGTTTGCGGAAAGGCAGACCCGCGTGAGCTGTGGGCGTAGGCCAGACTGGCGGTGGCAGTGGCAAGAAGTGACCCGTCCTGGATCTGCTCCGCAGGGAGGGCCCTCGGGGTCGTCCGGTGGGGTGGACGTGAGAAAAGGAAGGGACAAAGGGTCACCTCCGTGGTTTGGGCCCGTGCTGGAGCAGAAGGATGGCGTTGCCGTTCATGGAGCCGTGTGAGGGCTGGCCTGGCGGGGGAACAAGGAGCTGGTCGGGCTGAGTTAGCTGCAGTCCCTGTCAGCTCCGAGCGGACGTCCAGGCCGCAGTCAGACCCAGGGAGCGGGTGTCCGGGGAGCAGGCGGACTGCAGGTGTGAGCACAGGAGTCGCGAGCATGTAGGTGCATGGAGGCCCCAGGGTGGGACTGGGTGCCCTCGGCTGTGCGGAGGAGGGAAGGGAGGTGGTTCCAAGGCCGGAGCCCTGGGGCATCACCCGTCCTTGGGCCGAGGTGGTGAGGATGAGAGAGATTAGGAACATTGGCCAGTGAAGCCGGAAGAGCCTCCCAAGGAGTGGTGTCTGGGAGCAAGTGAGAAGCAGGTCTCAGGAAGGGCCAGGGAGGGGGTCAGGGCGATGGAGCGGGAGGGTCAGACCTAAGGATCAGCGGTGACTCGGCACCGTTGGAGGCACGGGCGCCCTGGACAGGCGCAGTTTGGGGGCAGCGGTGGGCGCAAAAGCCTGCTTGGAGGAGAGGAACTAAGACAGAGGAGTGCAGGCCAGTCTTTCTGAGCTGCTGCTGCGAGAGAGAGAGCAGAGAAAGGGGTGCGGGCGCTGGAAGGGGACTGGGGTGGAATGGCGTCTCTCTAAAGAAGGGCCGGTGCAGCGGGCCTGTGTGCGGGCGGCGGCGGTGCCGCAGGGGAGACGCTGGCCGATGCAGGGCAGGGCCCGGGGTGGCTGCTGGAGAGGCGTCCGAAGAGACGAAGAGACGGGGGTGCGGCCCAGGGGCGGGGGCTTCAGGGAGGCGTCGGGGCAGGTTGTCCGCAGACAGTGGGGCAGGGGTGCCCCTCCCTCGGGCGGGGGCCGTCTTACCTGCTCTGCTGAGCAGTAGCTGGGCTGAGAGAGGAGACCCACCCGCCCGTGGAGCTTCCCGCCCGGCAGGCAGCACGCCGTGCTGAGCGTGTGTGACCGAGGGGGCACGTCCGGAGTCTCGGGTTCCTGGCGCGAGCTGCAGACCGGTGGGCGTTGGCTGAATTCATCGGCGAGGCTGACGGGTTTCTCATGGAGCTGACAGTGCGGACGGCTGGGCCGGGCGAGGAGCGGGGCCGGGGTTCGGAGGGACGCTGGGGCCGTCTCTGGCTGTGAGCTCGTCTTCTGTCCTGAACGCCGACTCCATCTTCCCATCTTCCCGCAGACCAGCTTTGTCTGCTTCCCGGTCCGTGTGGCAGAACACGGTTGCGCCCTCCAGAGTTGCGTTTCCACACACCAGGGTGGACTGTCTCCACGCCCTGACCCCCAAGCCCGGGGTCAATGATGTGGACTAGTGGACTGGGCGTCTGTCGCTGGGCCAGTTTTGTGGCCGGGGAGGCAGGGACCGCGTGACTGTAACACTTGGAAACTTGGAATCTCTCCTCGTGGGTCGTGCCGGGAGTCCCCGAGGGGAGGGCCTGGGAGGACCCTCCAGTCAGCCTCACAGCGGGGAACGGGCAGGTGGGCGTTTTGGCTGTGCTCAGGTTCCACGAGTGCAAGGAGGAGGGCTCTGCGTCGGTTTTGGGGGACACCCCCGCGGACAGAGCCATCAGTACAGTTGAGGATATAGAACAGGCCGCTGAAGAAAGGGAGCTTACTGCTACCAGCCAAGGCTTTCTAGAAACTTCTGGCTTCTCTTCCTACCGGGAAGCCAGGAGGTTTCTCCCCCATGTTGGCCTCCCGGCTGCTGAGAAGGAGCGGCTCTCGTCGAGCCGCTCCACAGCCCTGGCCTCCTGGGGCCGGCGGGCTGGGCCAGTCTGCTCCGGCGGTTGTCAGGGAGCCCCGGCCTCCTGTGCCCTCCGCGCTTGAGAACCAGTCGTCCCGCAACCCGGTCTCCTGCTTCCTCCTCAGGGTACCCCGAGCCAGAGGTGACCTGGTACAAGGACGACACGGAGCTGGACCGCTACTGCGGCCTGCCCAAATACGAGATCACGCACCAGGGCAACCGCCACACCCTGCAGCTCTACAGGTAAGGGGGCGGGGCTGCTCTGCTCCACCAGCCCCCCCCCCCCCCCCGGGCTCTGTGGCCCAGGCCTGCCCTCGGAAGTGGAGTCCCTGCATGAAGGGGCCCAGGCAGACCCTAGGGGTGGAGGGTGGGGTTCTGCTGCTGAGTCCAACCGCCTGGCAGTGGGCCGTGTCCGCCTGCCCGTGCCTGGAACCCCCTGAGGCCAGGGTGGGGGAATCTGTGACAGCCAGAGAGCCGAGTGCGGCCACAGGATGGCCAGACCCACAGTGACGTTTTCTGTGAGGTTAGTTGCCGAGAAAAGCTTCTGTGTCATCCTTCGCAAGGGGCTGTGTGGGTCACCTGCTTCTGAAGGGAGCTCTCCCGTGCCCAAGTCTAACCCCCCGGGAACAGCGAGATCTTGGCCAGCTCCCACCCCCTTGCTGGCCTCAGTTTCCCCAAGTGTAGTGGAGAGTGTGGGGCACGGTCCTGTCTGAGCGGGGTGTGGCCCTCGGGGCGGGGCTTGTCCAGACTGGGGCAGCTCGCTGGGTTCTGACCGGCGCTGGCCGCGGGGAGGAGGGGCAGGGTTGGCAGCGAGCGCTCCTGCCTCCAGGTGTCAAGAAGAAGACGCGGCCATCTACCAGGCCTCTGCCCGGAACACCAAGGGCATCGTGTCCTGCTCGGGGGTCCTGGAGGTGGGCACCATGACCGAGTACAAGATCCACCAGCGCTGGTTCGCCAAGCTGAAGTGCAAGGCTGCGGCCAAGATGCGCGAGATCGAGCAGAGCTGGAAGCACGGGAAGGAGGGGCCGGGAGAGGCGGACACCCTGCGCAAGCTCAGCCCCGACCGTTTCCAGCGAAAGCGGCGGCTGAGCGGGGCCGGGGGGCCGGTCCCCTCGGCCCCCACCAGGGAGGCTGAGGACAGGACCTCGGCGGCTTGGCAGGAGAGGGACACGGAGCCTGGTCAGCACCCAGGGCTGGGCCTGATGGACAGTTTTGCCCCCGGAGAGGTGACCACCAATGGGGAGGCTGCCCCTGAGAATGGGGAGGACGGGGGTCACGGCCTGCTGACCTACCTCTGCGAGGCCATGGCGCTGGGGCCTCAGAGAGCCCCCCAGAAGGAGTCTGGGGCCAAGAAGAAGAAGAAGGCCGAGGAGCCGAAGCCCGGCCTGCTGGCGCCAGCGCTGGAGCAGGCAGCTCGGGGCCACCGCTCCGAGAACCGCGTCCCCACTTCAGACAAGCCCGACCCCCGCGGGACAGCGGGGCCGGCGGGTGCGGCGCGGACCCAGACCTGGCCCGGAGACCGGGCGCCCGGTCCTTCAGGAGCGGACGGTGCCAGGGAGCCGGCGTCCGCCGTGGGCTCCCCAGCCCAGCCCCAGACGGCCCCGGCCCTCGGCCCGGGCCCGGGCCCCGGCCAGGAAGTGCGCTTCTCCCTGAAGGACATGTATTTGGAGAGCACCTGCGCAACCGGGCCTCAGGCGGGGGACGGGCACCACGCACAGGGCGGCAGGGCCCCTGGGGAGACACCCTCAGGGGAGGCGCCCGGTGAAGCCGGAGGTGAGGGGGGGCCTGCCGCCCCCGGCCAGCATGCGCCCGCAGCCCCGCAGCCGGGCAGGCTTTTCAACTGGAAGAGGTTTGCCCCTCCGAAGCCCAAAGGGGAGCCTGCCGCCAGCGGCAAGCCTGACCCTCCCCTGGGTCCAGCTCCGGGACCCGGAGCCCAGGGCTTAGGAAAGGCTCCACCTCAGGCCTCTGCCCAGGTGCCTACACCCCCCTCCCGGCGGAAACACAGCACGCGGGACAGCCCCTTGCGCGGGCAGGCAGGCCTCGGGACCCCAGGAGAGGTAAGTGTGGGTGCCGGGTACCCGGGGGTCGCTCTGGGGAGCTGACTTCACGGAAACTCTTGCTGTAGCAGCTCAGCGGCCAGTGAGCCCTGGGGTATTTATAGCAGGGGCGCGGCGGGACGGAGTGCCAGCCTGGAGCAGGGGCCACGGGCCTGGCCCTCGCCCGGCCGGTCTCCCGGTGCCAGGCGCATGGGCAGTGCGGTCTCCCTGTGACCCTCTCCTCTGACAGCGTGGGAGCTCACAGCCAAGGGCCCGTGCCCCAGAGGGGGCGGAGGGGGATGAAGTCGCCTGGGGCGGGGGAGCCGGTGGAGGGTGTGCCGGGAGCTGTCCGGAGGCAGCCGCGCCGCAGTGCGCCGAGGGCCTCGGCCGGGCCGGACGCCCATTAGAAGACTTGAAGCCTGTCGGACGCCCGGGACCTTCTGGCTGCACGGGGTTCTTACCGAGAGCTGGGAGCCAGGGTGCCTGTGGGCAAGTCGGGCTCTCCCGGACACCGTGGGGCCGTGGGCCCATCGTCGGTCAGAGGGACAGTGCACGCTGCTTCCCAGAGCCCTGGGGAGAAGTGGCGTGCCCCGGGCGCAGGCCCGGTGCCTGTGGGCGGCCGAAGGAGCGGCGCAGGCGCGCAGTTGTGCCTCCCAACAGGGGTGTCAGCGTTGCTGGGGGTCAGCTGGCCGGCAGGGAGAAGGTGACGCTTCGTGAGGGGAGGGTTGGGAGCCTCCCCTCCTCGAAGAAGGAGGCTGGTGCCTGACGGCCCGACGGCGTCTGATGAGGGTGGCCGGGGCAGGTGGGCCGAAGGGAAGGGGTTTGTCGCGTCGGGTCGCCGTTCCGTGGCTCGGGGGGCAGAGGGCAGGTGGCGTTTCCCAGGGGTTCGGGGAGACTGTTTTCCGGGCGGAGGGGGGGGCAGACAGAAGACAGCAGCATCTTCTATGAAGGGCAGGAATGACGTGTTTCAAGAGTGGAGGTGGGTGGGTAAGGGGGAGGGGACGTGCTGATCCTGATGCTGAGAAGTGACTGGTGGTTTGTCTGAGATGCAGACGAACCCAGGTGTCCTGGGTTTCTCTTTGCTAAGTCTGGCGGCCCTGAGTGGAGACCACATTTTGGCGGGAACTACGGGGAGACTGTTTCTTGGCGGGAGCGGGAGCCTGGGCCCCAGGACCCGGGAGGGGCCCCTGAGAGCCGTGCTTCACGGGGGTCGGGCAGAGGACAGAGGGCTTCTCAGGACTCACGTGCAGGACTCACGTGCGGGACGGCCTGCTCCAGCGCCCGTGGAGGGCGAAGGGATGGGGGTGCTTCGTGGACAACAGCGAGGGGCCGCCTTTCCCAGGGGGGGCCTTCCCTGGGGAAGGAGGGGGAGAGCAGTTTCCGGGGCGAATGGGCGGGGGACGGTTTTGTTTCCGTGGGTGCTGAGGTCAGTCTGCGTGGACAGGCGTTCGTAGGGCTTTCGAGCGGGGCGACCCTCCGGCCAGAGCCTCGGGTCTGCTCACCACCCTCACGCTGGGTCTCGAGACTTCAGCTGCGAGCGTGGGCTCTGGTGGCCCCGGCAGCCTGCAGGCTGGGCAGCAGGGCCCCGCTGTGGAGGTGGCTCTCACGGGCCCCGGGGAGCTCCTGTCTGGAGTGGCCAGGTGCGGGCGTGCATCTGGCTTCTCCTCCCGCAGGGGCGCGCTGCACCCCAGCAGCGTGCTGGCAGGTCCCCTCGCCTGTCAGAGGGGAGAGAGGGCTCTGGCCACGCCGGCCCGGGAGAGGCGGCCTGCAGTGGCTCTGCTGGTCCTGGAAAAGGGCGTGTGGGTTTTAAGCAGTTTTCTTACACTTAAATAAATGGGAAGTGCACGTGTGAAAAAATGTATTTCACATCTGTGTATGTTTTGAAGCTGTAGCTTTTTGGTGGCTGAATATGACTGGTTCTCATATTCTCGTAGTAACAAATCATTTTCTAAAATTTAAAAAATGCTATTAAAAAGTTTTAATTCCATTACCATTTATCCCTCTTATAACCCTCTCCCTCCCGCAGTCACTACACTGTTGTCCGTGCCCACGAGTCCTGTTTCCTTTCTGCTCCCTCCCTGTCCCTCTCCCCGTTCCCCGCCCCCGCCCCCCCAGGCGGTCCGCCCGCCCGCTCGCCTTCTGTGATCCTGTAGCGTGCTCGTTGGTTCGGGTTGTTCATTCAGTTCCACGTGAGAGTGAAATCCCGTGGTTTTTATCTTTCTCTGGCTGGCTTACTGCACTGCGCAGTGCTCTCCAGGCTCACCCATGCTGCTGCAAGGGGTAGAACTTCCTTCCTTCTTCACGGCCCGGTAGTACTCCACTGTGTAACCGTCTCAGAGTTTTGTCCACTCATCTACTAATGCTTCCGTATTTTGGACATTATAAATAATGGCTGCAGTGAGCATAGTTGTGCTTATGTTCCCAAACCTTTTTTAAAAGTACCTTGGTTTTGGATTATGAAAGAAACATGTGGCCGTAAGAGAAAATATGGGGTAAAGCCCTAAAAATTCAAAGGAAAAAATAAAAACTCACCTGTGATTCCAACATACAGGAGACATGTCTTGGTCTGCTTAGCAGTCTTTTTGCATATGTAATTTTATTAGTTTTTAAATTTGTACTGTTATTCTGATTCAGTTGTATACCCTGTTTTCTCCACCTCTCATTAGTTCATGAGCATTTTCTCATGGTTCCTAAAATTTATCTGAAACACTTCGTTGTGAATGGTTTTATGTGGCCGCAGTATGCGCATTTTAATCATTTCCTCCATAGCCTCTATGCTTTCCTTCCCTGTTCTAAGGTTAAGTACCAACCCACATTTTAAAATAACGTTGCTTGTTCGAGTTGCTTCGTCTGACCTTCAAGTCAGTCTGGGACTGATGTGGGTGTGCAGGGAAGGCGCGACGGCGCCGCAGGCCAGGTCCTCGACCTCCGAGAGCCCACGGGGAGACGGACGGGTGGCGAGGTGCCGGACCGAAGGAGCTCCCAGAGCGCCAGCCGGGTCCCCAGGCCCACGCCACCTGATCTCCAAGGAACACGTGACATCCCGCTCCCGTCTCCACACACCACACAGTTCAGGCGCAGGCGCGCGAGCACACGCACGCACGCACGCACGCCAGGGAGTCAGCGGTTGTAGGTGCGCGGGAGGCGCCCAGTCACACGGCACGCAGTGCTGAGCGCCGGCTCCCACCCTGGGCCGGGCCCGGGCCCGGGCCCGCGGGCTGCACGTGACTGTGGGACAGACAGCCGCCACCCGGCATGAGGTGTGGTGGCAGGATGGGGTGCCTTCCCTACGGGCGCATGGGGTGGGAAGCCCCTGACGTTTCGGGGGGTGGAGGAGTGAACTCAGGGGTCTTCACGGAAGGAAAGGCACGGGGGTGAGGTCTTCGGCGAAGCGGGGCAGCCCTCCCGGTGGTCGGGAGGAGGTGGGAATGTCCAGCAGGGAAAACGCAAAGTGGTCGTAGAACAGCACGGTGGGTGGTGCGGTGAGTGAGGGTTGGGTGGGGGGCCCGAGGGGCGAGCCTGGGGAGACAGGCCCGGGGCCCTGCAGAAGGACAGGCCTCGGTGGTTGTGGAAGGGCTCACCTCCTTACTTCCCCGTTTACTTGGGTTTCACTGAGCAGGTGTCATGTGCATGTGGCATAAATCTCAGAAAGTATCAGAGATATTAGAGAGCATTAAATCTTCCCCCTTCCCTCACCCATCACCCAGTTCCTCTTCCTGAAGCCAGTTTCCATAACTGGCATCTCGGGCATCTTTCCGGAGCTATTTTCTGCGCATTTACAAATGTTATGTTTTCGTGTATTTTCTGCACAAAAGTGGCACATGATACTTTCTATTTTGCACCTTGCTTTTTTATTTGTATGTTTGTTTTATTTATTTGGAATAGGGCTGTATCATAATTTATTGGATCAGTCCTGTGTTGACAGGATCTAGGTAACTTCTAGTCTTCTGCTATTGCAAACCACGCTGCAGCAAACACCCGTGTGCATGAGCCCACCTGCCTGTGAAAGCGTATCCGTAGGATAGGCGCCTGGGGAGCAGTTGTTGGTCAGAGAGCAGAAGTGTTTTGGTCTCACTGTTTCGGACGAGGCCAAACTGCTGTGCTCAGAGGCTGCGTCCACGCCCGTGTCCGCTGCCGGCCGCAGAGGGTGTTCTGAAACGCCCTGCTCCTTCAGGCATCGTCCGGCCCGTGAGGGTAAGCCACCCGGAGGTCGTTGCGCAGGGGAGTGTCGGCCTCGGATTTGTGTTGCGGAAGGATCGCTTGGGCTGCAGCCAGGATATGCGTTTAGCAGAGGTGACGAGTTGAGCCCTGGGTACCAATTAGGAGGCTTTGCAGTCGTCCCGGCAAGAAAGGATCGCCGGCCGCGCGGATTAGGTTGCTGGCAGTGCGGACGGAGAGGCCGCGGAGGCTGGGATGCTGCGGATGAGGGCGCGGCAGCACTCGGGGGTGGGTCGGCCGGGTGGTGGGGGGAGGGCGGCTGTGGCCACACGCCCTGCCTTCGGGCGCCTTCTGTGCAAAGGCCGAGTTTCCTTGTCAATGTGTGGGTTTCACGTCCATGTTAATATTTCCTAATGCTAGAATATCAGAAATCAAAGGAGGGTTCTAGTGGATCACTAATTGCTGTTTGTTGGCTCCAAGGCCTTTTTGTCTGTTCCTATCTCACTGGTTGTAAGAGATGTTGGAGAAACGTTTTCATTAAAATTCTTCGGTCGGTTGGACCTCCCCTCGGTGTTCCCGCTGTGCCCCAGGCTCGTCTGTTTTTGCTGCCCGCACCACTCGTTCGAGGTTCCATGTCCAGTGAAGGACTTTCAATCCCCTGATTAGTGCAAATATATCTGAATTACGTGTTTTTAAAAGTCATTGTTATATAATCTGTTCGCTTTGGTTTTGTCTGTGGTTCTTTTGATACTTAGAAGTATTTGTGTACAGCAATTTATAACTTAAACTTTATGCGACACTAAATTGCCTGTTCATCAGTGTCCTTTAATGCTTCACGAACGAGCTCCTGCCTTCTCTGTCTTCTGCTCGACTCCTGCCAAGCCCTCCGGGGTCCTGCAGCCTCCGTTGGTGGGGTGCTGGGGCCTGCGAGCCCCGGCTGGGTCCTTTCTGTGCGGCAGCCGCCTCGCCAGCACGTCCTGAGACCGGCGCGGGAGGGTCACCGTCTGGGTCCCAGCACGGCTGTGTCCCCGCTCCGCCCCTGGGGCTGCAGGTGTCCGCTTCCGACAGCCCTGACCCACTTTTCAAGGCTGTGGGCTGTGTTTGCCGCTGGTTTCAGTAGGAGTGGAGTTTGCTTTTTTCTTGTTTACTTGGTTGGTTTTGATCCCATTTAGGAGGAGGGAGACAAATGACTGTCTTGTGCCACTATGTTTAGATAGTAAGTCCTTTAATTATAATTTAAGTGGGCGGCATCACAGCATAACAGCAAAGAGCTTGGGATTTGGAGCTAGACACGCCTGGCTTCTAAACTAAACTCCGCCACTTACTATCTGCTGACAGACAAATCAGACTGTCAGTGCCGTTGTCTCTGAGACGGAGGTGTTCTCGTACCTGTCCCGTATCGTTGTGAGGAGCGAGGTCGTGTCTCTCTCTCCGTCCTCGCTTCACCCGTGGTTCTCTCCAGGGCAGTGGGTGCCACGAGAGAGGGACAGATCCCTTGCTCGGGAGCCCTGGGGAGACGACACTGTCCTCACATGGCCGGGGTGTGGGGCGGGATGACACGTGGGCAGGGTCTCTCAGGAAAGGCAGGATTTCTTCAGGGAGAGGGGAGACGGGCCGGGACTCGACCTGGATGCTGGGTGCTCCCTGGTCTAGATTCTGGGGTCGGGGGTTGGGGTGGGCAGCTTTGGCACCTTGTCACACGTCCTTTGCCTCCCGCACCCCTGCCAGCCCCAGGTGCCAGGGGGCAGGACCCCCACCCAGGCCGTTGCGGATGGGGTCCCAGGAGGCTGGGATGCCAGACTGGAGACGGATGCCGAGGCACAGGAGTTAAGTGCTCACCTTTGTTCCCAGGTCCCGGAGTCCCAGGTGACCATGGCTCCTGTCGCACTGGCCAGTGGCAGTGCCGAGGTGGCCTCTGCTGGCGGCAGCACCCCCAGAAGTCAGGGCGTCGCTGAGCCCATGGACACAGAACCCCAGGAGAGCAGCACGTGTGCTGACGGGAGACGCGGAGGCAAGAAGGACACAGGGGCGGACGGGAAGATGCAGGTGGACGAGAGCGCGCGGGGAGACGGAACACGGACGGCCTCGGGGACACAGGCGGGCGGGAAGACACGGATGGACCCTGTGGCGGCGCAGAACAGGGAGGGAGAAGAGTCGGGTGGGAGCTCCCGGGAGGGAGCGGCAGCACGGGGAGGGCCAGAGAGGCGGGTGGAAAGGACGCCGGAAGAAAGGAAGGAAGACAGGAAGATGCAGGCGGGCAAGAAGACCCAGGGAAACGGAAGGATGTGGGAAGACCAGGGGACGCCGGCAGCGGGGAGCGGCCTCAGCCCGCAGACCCCAGGAGGGCCCTCTGTCCTGGGGAAACCCAGTCCCATGCTCAGGTCCGAGGCGGCAGCAGTCACAGCCTCTGGAAACCAAGAGCAAACTCTGCTGCGTCCCCTGTCAGGGCACCCCACGCTGCCCGCACAGTTGCTCCCTGAGGGCAGCTTGGAGCAGACAGGAGGAGAGAGAGGTTGGGTGCCAGAGAGGTCAGGCGCGGTCAAGGACACGCCAGCGGGGAGCCTGTCCCAGGGTCCTGCGCAGGAGCGGCCCGGGGAGGTGCTGTCTGTGGGGCCGGGTGCCTGTCCTCCTGCTGGGCTGAGCCCGGAGGTGCCCACTCTGCCTTCTCCTGGGACTGGCCTGTCGGATGGCCCACATCAGGGGCTGCCCAGCACTCCCAATGCCCAGCGCACAGGTGCAGCTGCCTTCTTGCCCTCTGGGGACCCGGCCTTGCTGAGCTCTGCTCCCACACTGCACCCGGGGCCAGGGACCCCCACCCAGAGCCACCCACTGGAACCCACAGCAGCCGGCAATGAGGGGGCCTGCGCCAAGATGCCAGATGACGAAGGGACGCCCTCAGGCCCCCGGAGCTGTGACCCTGGCCTCATAGATTCCCTGAAGAACTACTTGCTTCTGCTGCTGAAGCTGTCCAGCACAGGGATGGGCAGAGGAGGCACAGAGCCCCAGGGGGAAGCAGCGCCCAGGGGTCTGGAACCCTCGCCCACGCTGGCCCCCACCGTGGGCGTGGCTGGGCTGAGTCCTCGGACGTCACGGCGCATCCTGGAGCAGGTGGAGAACGACCATCTGGTGCAGAGCGCACAGAACCTGCTGCTCAGCCCCTGCACCACCCGCCGCATCACGGGCCTCCTGGACCGGGAGGTGGCGGCCGGCCAGCAGGCCCTGGCTGCTGCTCGGAGCCACGGCCCCAGCCCCCTCAGCGTCCCCACCATAGTGGTGGGTGAGGAGGCGGGCCTTGGGCTGGCCTCAGAAGCATCCAGGAAGGGTGAGGGAGAGGTTCCCCTCGAGGGGCCTGGCCTCCTGGGAACCTCCCGGGAGGGCAGCGTGGGGGGCCTGCTGGGAGAGGCAGGTGGGCAGGCAGCCTCTGGCCAGGGACCTCCGTCCGCAGAGAGCAGAGCTCAGGGACCCCTCCAGGGGGAGGGGCTCCCACAGGAGACGCCGCCAGGGCTCCCCGCAGCGACCCCCGAGGAGCTGGCTCTGGGTGCCCGGAGGAAGAGGTTCCTCCCCAAGGTCAGAGCAGCAGGGGACGGGGAGGCCACCACGCCCGAAGAGAGGGAGAGCCCCACGGTTTCTCCTCGGGGACCCAGGAAGGGCCTCTCGCCTGGGTCCCCCGGGACTCCGGGGCAGGAGAGGCGCTCTCCGACCCAGGGGCGAAAGGCAGGCCTGCTGGAGGTGCCTCGGGCGGAGGAGGAGCTGGTGGCCGGAGACCCAGGCTCCAGCCCCAAGGCCAGCGGGCCGGACGCGGACGCGGAGCCGGCCCTGGATGGAGGCAAGCAGGAGGCCGCGGACAAGTCGAAGAAAGCCAAAGACCTGCTGAAAGGTGGGCGGCGGTGAGGGCGGGGCGGGGCTTCCCACGGGGGCTGCACGCAGAGGACGTTCCTGCCGTGGTTGCTGGGCGCGGCACGGGCCTGCTGAGAGCCTCGTGAAGCTGCTCTCCTGTCACGACCCCCACGCCTGGGAGTCAGGAGGGCCCGCCTCTCTCCAAGTTGGTAATGGTGCCCACTCCGTACCCCTGCGAGAGGGCCGAGTCAGGGAGAGTGGAGCAGGGGCTCAGCACCGGGATTGGCTTCAGCGGCTCCTGCCTGCCACCCTTGTCGCCGTCACTACCACGAGCCGGTCTTTGCAGACGCGTCCCACGGGCAGGGGACAGGGCTCCAACGCAGGCTCCCGCAGTCGGGCCTGGCCTGCGGCAGGAGTCCCTCTCCTGGCCGCTGTCGGTGTCCTCAGCTGCAAGGCTTCCCTGGCCTGGGAGGGGGCGCAGTGGCGGGTCCTTCCTGGCTGGGATGTGCGCTTGGGGTCAGGGCAGACGCCCCAGGGATGCAGATGGGGCGCAGCGGGGGGAGCAGGATTTGTGTGGAGATGGGAGTCCCTTGTCCCTCAGCCAGTTCCCCCGGGGACAGCCAGGGAAGCACGGGCCGGCCGGAGAGGGCCCGGATGGAGCGCAGGGGCCCGGTCCCCTCACCCGGCCCCGCTCCCAGCCCCGCAGGTGATCCGCAGGATCCGCGTGGAGCAGTTTCCGGATGCCTCGGGCAGCCTGAAGCTCTGGTGCCAGTTCTTCAACATCCTCAGTGACTCGGTCCTGACGTGGGCCAAGGACCAGCGCCCCGTGGGCGAGGTGGCCAGGAGGTAAGCTGTCAGAAGGCCGCCGCCCCTGACCCGGCGCCTCGCTGCCGCAGCCGCGATGGCAGCGCCGTCCCAGCACTTGGGGCCTGTCCCGTGTGTCACGCCCACAGCACCCCTGAGACAGGCGCTAGCGCTTCGAGGTAGAGGGGAGGAGACCGAGGCCCTGAGGTGCCGCAGCCCTGGCCCGGAGTCACCCAGTTGGCGAGTGTCAGGACTGCGAGCCGGCCCTGAGGAGCCTTGAGCCCTCGTGGTGGCCCCGGCTGTGCCGGGGTGACGGCCCTCACGGGAAGGGTCTCCCCTCTCTGCAGCGCAGGGGACGAGGGGCCGGCGGCCCTGGCCATCGTGCAGGCGTCCCCCGTGGACTGTGGCGTGTACCGCTGCACCATCCGGAACGAGCACGGCGCGGCCTCCACGGACTTCTGCCTGAGCCCCGAGGGTGAGCCCGCCCGCCCCGCTCCCGCCCCGCTCCCGGGGGAGGGCGGGGCCGTCTGCACGGATGGCGCTCTGCTCACTCTGGGCGGAGCGCTGAGGCAGCGCTTTCTCTCTCCCCTCCACACAGTGTTGTCGGGGTTCGTGTCCAGGGAAGAAGGTGAAGGTACGGAGCCCCTGGGCAAGGGGTGGGCGGGTGGCCTCCGTCCCTGCCCAGCCCTCTGCCGAGGGACCTTCTCCAAGGGCCTGGAGTCTGCTCCAAACGCCCGCTCACCTCCCCGGGCAGCTGCCTTTGCCTCCTGGTTCGGGATGCCGCCGTGTCAGAGGGTGGTGCGGCCAGAGGTGGCTAAGGGGGCTGGTCCCCGAGGAGTCCGTCAGCCTTGTGCCCTTCGCCCGTGTCCCAGCGCTTGAGCAAGGGCGGGGTGGGCCTGCAGGAGGCACCTGACCCTGCCAGCTCCCTCCCGGCATGTCTCGCGGTGTCCTGCGTGTTAGGTCCCATGGGGAGCCCACTGACAGTGTGGTTTCTGAGGCCCCACTGCCGACCTCCCTCCCCTCCATCTCTGGGGAAGGACCTAGAGAAAGTGCATTCCAGTGGGCTCCCTGGGGGCGGTGACGCACCCCGTCACTGATGCGCGTTTCCAGGGCCCACACCCCCGAGGAAGAGCCTGTGTCGCTCCTGCCGGAGACGTGCTCAGGATTCGGGCTGTGAGGGCGGCCCGTGGTGGAAGGGCCCCTAGGGTCCCGTTGGCCACCTGACACACTAGCTCCGCCCTTCACGCACTCACTCAACCGCTCGTCATGTAACCGGTGCTCTCTGCTGAGTTACCAAGTCGGATTCCATCAACGTAGAATCTAACCTCGTGCCTAGAAGCTCAGTACAGGCGTTTCTTCCTGTACGGCAGGCACTTCAAAGATGTTGCCTTTTTTACCACTTGAAGGCAGGAGCCTCCACCGGCCAAAAGCTCGGGCCCCCCTTTCCGCAGTGCTCGCTCTGTTGGGGCGGTCCGGAACCGCACCCACAGCATCTCTGAGGTGGGCCTGGGATGATTCTCTAATATTGCTGGACATCCGGCCCGACTTCCCAGGCTGTCTCGTAAGCTTTGCTGTGCTTGGATCAGACGCCAGGCACTGCTGCGGGCTGCCGAGTCTCACGCGTCTCTCCGACCTGCAGGTCTTTCCGCCCTCGTCTGTTTTCCCTCCTTGCCGTTTCTCTGTCGAGGCCACTCGCCGTGCAGAATTTCTTGCATTCCAGGCTGTGTTGACTGTGTGACCAGCCGGCGCGCCCCTCCGCTGGGGCGTCCCCTGCACGGGCGTCCAGGCCGCGAGGCGCGGTCGGGTTCCGGCGCACACTCCTGGCCAGGCCCCCGCGCACGTGTGCCGTGTGCTTTCTTTCCGTCCGTCCCGGAGTCACGTGACATCTGACTGTGTCACCTTCAGTGACGTCGAGATCGATCACCGGGGCCCTCCAGGTGTTTTTTGCCTGATCCATCCCTTTTAAAAGTAAAAAAACAACCGTATCTGATACACCTGTGTTGTTACTAGGGGTTTTAACCGTCACTGATTATTGTCTAAATCCACTAATTCATTAGCGTTCGCAATGTGGACTCTTTGAATTGTATCCTTTTTTCTTCATTCATTTGCTGACTCCCTTCTGCAGAGGAGCAGTGGTGGTTTGGTTACTCTGAGTTGGTGCCCTAGCGCCCTGCAAAGGTTTGGGTTTTCTGCAGGGGCAGGGGGTCTATTACATTTATGAACATAGGGGTTTTTGATACGTTTGACATGTTTTGTACATTGCAGACACAATTTTTTCCACTGGTGACGTTGTCTGATCTCGGCCGGTGGGAGCCCCATCGGGGGTTGGCTCCTGTGTCCCGGTGACAAACCTCCACTCGGTTTCAGTAGCTTCTTTCCCTTCTGGTCTGACCAGATGTCCCAGGTCCGCCCCCCGGCCGTTTCTTCGGGGAGCGCCGGCTCCTTGTGGTGGGAAGTGGCGTTTCTCGGTCACAGTCGGAGCCCCGGGGGCTCCCTGCCACGGGCCTGGCCCTGTGCACTCTTTGTGCGAATCAGACGTGTTGGTCGAGATGGAGTCATTTACTCATCTGGTCAAAACACCAGACTCCCAAACAAAGTCATCCTGGTGTTCCGCGCTGGCTGCCCCTCCCACAAGGGAGTGCGTGTGGGTGAGCTGGTCTGTGCCCTTCCTCCGCGGGCGCTGGCCATGTCCTGTCTCTGCGGGGGGCGCTCCAGAGCACTGTCACGTGACGGGGGCCTGCGTCTGATGCAGCGCCCGCCCTTGGGGGCCCACATGGTCGGTGCTAGGGGCCCGCAGCGTGCCCCAGAGAGCAGCAGTGCACAGAGGGAGTGCACCTGGGGGCGGGGAGGCCGCCCCACCCCTCCTGCCCTGCGCACCCCGCCAGGGGGCGGAGCCGCTGTTCCCCACCTGTGTCCCGTCCGTTTCCCTTCAGTTGGAGAGGAGATCGAGATGACTCCCATGGTGTTCGCCAAGGGTCTGGCGGACTCTGGCTGCTGGGGCGACAAGCTCTTCGGGCGCCTGGTGAGCGAGGAGCTACGGGGAGGAGGACACGGGCACGGCCTTCGGAAGGCCTCCCAGGCCAAGGTCATCTACGGGCTGGAGCCCATCTTCGAGTCGGGCCGCACGTGCGTCATCAAGGTGTCCAGCTTGCTGGTGTTCGGGCCCAGCAGCGAGACGGCCCTGCTGGGCAGGAACTACGACGTCACCATCCAGGTGCCGTCCCCACCCCCGGCCCCGGCCTCGAGCTCTCCCACCTCCTCCCCTCCCAGCCGGGTCCCGGGGGGAAGCCAGGATGGGGGCAGAAGCCGTCAGCCTCGACCTTGTGGAGGGTCCCGGGTGGTCCTTGAGGGGCGTCCGAGGCGCAGCCCAGGTGACACCTCGGGGCCCTTGGTTCCCAAACGGCAGTTGTGCAGCAGAGACTCTTCCCGCTGCCCTCACACGCGTCTGGCACAGAGGCCTTCCGGTCGGGGCGAGGGGGTGCGTGTGGGGGAGCTGGTCTGCGCACGCCCGCCCAGCGGCAGCCCCCTTGCTGTCCACAGCGTGGCCCCGGGCCCAGCACGCACCCCAGGGTTCCCTGTGGGCCTCTGGCACGGGCCCGTCCCTCCAAGCTGGGCCGGGGAGAGGATGCCGGGCGCTCTCGATGACCAGGCTGGGTCCCCTGTCGCCCAACACAGGGCTGCAAGATCCAGAACATGAGCCGGGAGTACTGCAGGATCTTCGCGGCCGAAGCCCGGGCGGTGCCCGGCTTTGGGGAGGTGCCCGAGTAAGTGCACAGGGCGGGGGGGGAGCCAGGGTTTCGAGGCCCCCAGGGGCGGCCTGAGTCATGGCCGCCTGCAGAAGGCCCACGGCTGACCTGTGCTCAGCTTGATGGTCCTTCCAAACCCAAAAGTGAGGATGCAGGGTTCCCTGCCCGCTTCAGGAAGGCCTCTGCCCTGGCCTTCGGCCTCCCCTCACCCAGCTCAGGGCCCCCCACCCGGCCCAGTCTCTGCTCCTGGCAGAGTGCGGGCCAGCAGGTCCCGGGCCCTCTGGAGGTGGTGGGCTGGGCCCAGCCCCACGGCCACCGCTGGGGACCCCCCTGTGGTGGCGGCAGCCGTCAGTGTGGGGTCTGTGGCAGTCGGCGCTCGGTGGGGGCTGCTTCCACTGTGACCCCAGAGTGCCTGCTCACGAGGGCTGGGGTCTGGCTGGCACTGAGCCACAGCCGGGCTGAGCCCTCTCTGGAGGTTCCTTTCTGCCCCTCCCCCGGCTCCGAGTCCTCCTGGGGCAGAGCGTGGTCTGGGTCTGCCCCGACCGCAGCACGGACAGGACTCTGAAGCCAGCGGCCTCCGTTTCCTTTCCCGAGCTCCCCGCGCTTGCTGTCCCTCGGCCCCAGGACTGGGCATTCTTTCTGGGAGGGCCCTCCTTCTAGATCCGAGACCGTAGAGTTGAGACGGTGGGGAGCTCTCTGCCGCCCTGCGCCCTGCGCCCTGCTCACTGCAGGGCGGCACTGTGTTCAGGATCATCCCGCTGTACCTGATCTACCGGCCGGCGAACGCGGTCCCGTACGCCACGCTGGAGGAGGACCTGGGCAAGCCCCTGCAGCCCTACTGCTCCCGGGACTGGGGCTCCGCCGCGGCGCCGGTGCCCGGCAGCTCGGAGGCCGTGCAGAAGTGCCAGGCCTTCCAGCACTGGCTGTACCTGTGGACAAACGGCAGCTTCCTGGTCACGGACCTGGCAGGTAGGAGGGTGCGCGCGTGCGTGTGTGTGTGCGTGCACTCACGTGTGTGAGGACAGGTGCGGGGCAGAGGAGAGGGCTTGTGCGCTGGTCTACAGCCCGCTTTTGTGACTCCTCGCCCCGTCTGTTCACGACACCCTTGTGGAGTGGACCGGACGGGCAGGGAGCCCTGTGTGTGCAGCCCCAACGCACACCGGGGCCTCCCGCGGCCGAGAACCGCAGGCACGCGCGCCAGGCTGCCCGCGGCTTCTCGCAGCGCCTGCTCTCCGTGTGCACGCAGAAGCCAGTCTCACCTGGGGTCATGCCTCTGCTGGTCCACCCCGATTTCCCTCCCTCTTCCCCTCCTCCCTTTTGCGCAGACTTATCTGTTCAGAGGAAGGAGAAAGCTTTAGCTCAGACCCAGAGGCCAGCCCAGCTTGTGACCCGGTCTGACCCAGTAGGGGCAGGGTTGCACGGCCGGAGGAGTTTGGCATTTAGGAGTAGGAGAAATTGAACTTCTACTTGGACTCGTAGTGGCCGTTACTGAGTGAATGAGTAAACGTGACTTTGCTCGCATCACCGAGCTCTGAGCCCAGCTCCTGGTCTGTGAAAGTGGGACTGTTACTGCTACCGTTAATACAGAAGTGCCCACGCCGCCTGCCACGCAGGCCGGTGGCGACGACCCCGTGAGGGAGGCCTGAGGTGCGCCCTGACGCCTGGCGACTCTCCGTCCCAGGGGAAACCGTCCTGGAGACACAGGGGCCCTAGAGCCAGCCCAGGCTGCACCGACTCAGCTCCCAACTCTGTCCTTTCAGGGGTCGACTGGAAGGTGACCGATGTGCAGATCGCCACCAGGCTGCGCGGGTGAGTGCTTCGTGAGGGCACAGCGCCTTCTGCGCGTCTTCCCCGGGCCTGACGTGTCCACGTTCGCCCGGCTCTTCGTCCCTGAGGCGCCAGGCCCAGGTGGTCCCAGTCGCCCCCGAGGGGCTGCACCCCTGCCCCGCACCTGGGCCGGCAGCCGTTGATGCCCGCACCTGGGCCACCTGCCGCTCCTCCTCCCCCCACTCACAGTGCAGACGAGCGTGGGCGCCCTGAGCAGAGCGGCGCCCTGGGGTCTGCTCTGATTTATGTTAGAGAGGCCGGTTGTCCTCACACCGATCAGTGCCCCACACGATGAATTCCCTGCGCCAGGGCCTAACGAGGCCTCAGTGTAGAGCTGAGGCTTCAGATCCCACCGCCTCAGGCGGCACCAGGAAGGCGCCCCAGCGCTCCCAGGTGGGGCAGTCTGTGCCGTGGGTGGCCACGACGCCCTGCCACAGCCGTCCCAAAGCCGGCCCCCCAGGACCCTCAGTTTGGGCCGGACTCCCACTCAGCTCCCCCTGTTTGGCTGCAGATACCAAGGCCTGAAGGAGAGCTGTTTCCCCGCCCTGCTGGACCAGTTCGCCGCCTCCCACCAGTGCAGCCCCTTCTGTGAGATGCTGGGGCTGAAACCCCTCAAGGGCCCCGAGGCCGCCCACTCCCAGGCCAAGGCCAAAGGCTCCAAGAGTCCATCTGCCGGGAGGAAGGGCTCCCAGCTGAGCCCTCAGCCCCAGAAGAAAGGCCCACCCAGCCCTCAGGGCACCCGGAGGAGCGCCCCGAGCCCCAAGGCCACTCCTCAGGTCACAGGGGCAGTCGCCACCCAGGTACTGGGAGAGCCCCCCACCCGAGAGGGGAGCTCGCAGGCCCAGGGCACGCGGTAGCCCCTGCGAGAGGCTGGGGGCCTTCACCCGGCCGCAGACCCACAAGGAAGCAGCTCAACCTGACGGAGACCTTCCCAGCGCGGACCGGCCAGGAAGGCGCGCCGAGCGGGCAGCCCCGGGGCCTCCCGGCGCGGCCTCTCCCCAGTCAGCTCCTCCCCAGACGGCTCTGGCTCCGGTGCCTGGCACACAGCCCAGTGGCCTCTTCTGGTGCCATGTCACCCGGGGCTCCAGGCCCCGCTCCCAGTGCCCCGGGGGCTGAGGCCCTCCTTGAAGTTTACACTGGCCGCTGCTGGAGGCTCCCCGAGTCCTCTGCATGAGTTTTGCACCCCGACCCCTGGCCCCAGCCAGACCCTGCCGTGAACGGTGTCCCCTGGGGCGTGCAGGCCAGCACTCACCCCTGCCTTTGCTCCACCCCGACCTCTCCCTGACCTCAGGGTTCGGGGCTTCCTGTGCTATGTGACTCTCAGGGCGTCTTCTCCCTCAGGCGGCTTTGCTTAGCCTGCAGCAAACCTGCCCCCGAGCCCCACCTGGGGCCTGTTCTGTCCTTGTGCGGTGGTCTCCGGTGACACGTGTTCTTGCTTCTCCTTCCCTCGTCTCCCAGGCACTCACTTGCCTGCTGCTCATGCTGTCTTGCACCCCTCCCCCACCCCCAGCTTGGAACCCAGTTGCAGCCTGCTGCCTGCCCTTCACGACTCTGCTCGTCCCCGCACCTGGTGGCTTTCCTAGCCCGGCCCCCACCCCACCCCCCAGGACCCAGGTGAAGAGCAGACCCTCCACCCTCTAGTCCACCCCAGTCCACCCCTCCTTACTTGCCCACGGCCCCCCTCCCGTGAGGGGAGAAGTGGCACGGGGTGGTCAGCAGCCGGGGCCAGAGAGAGAGTGTGGACTTGGAGGGACTGGGTGCTCCGTGCTGACAGAGGTGGCTCGTGTGGAGCTCACATCTCCTCCTGGCTGCAGTGGATGGCTGGGGGTTTGGGGAGGGTGCCAGCCAGCTGCCCACTGCGGTGGAGGGCTGTCTCTGTGCCCGGGACCCAGCACCCCTGTCCCCAAGCATTAACTCTGGATCCTGAATCTCCAGCTCCAGGACCTAGTGCGTGAGCTCCCGAGGAATTGCTGTACTTGGCCCAGGACCCTGTCCCCTTCCTGGGAGCCCCTCCTGCAGGCCCTGGGTGTGGGGAGGGGTCTGGAAGTAGCTCACTCCCCTTGGAATTCAATAAAGGCTGCAACTGTGTTCCCTGCTCACCCTCGTCTGATGTGGTTGTGAGGTGTGTGGACTCCGGGTCCCCTCTCCCCAGGCGGGATTCCTGAGGCAACCTGCAGCCGCTGGGTGCACTGGGAAAACGAATCCGTGTTGTGTTCTGCACTGACATTCGGCCTCAGCCTCCCACGGCCACAGCTAGACAGCCTGTGCTGCTTGTGCAGCCAGGCTGATGGCTGCGCCCCTCAGCAGGGGGACTGTGGACTTGGGGCCAGGTCGGCATTGCTCCTTCCTTTGGGGGAGGAGCACAGAGAAGGAGCCCAGGAGGCTGAAGCTGAGCCGTGGGCTCCGGGGAAACGCCAGTGTCTTTGGCTTTTTCCACAGCAGCCAGCTCAGCCCAGGGGACAGCCAGCGTCTGCCTCCCAGCCACTCACTGACCACTCCACCTCCCCTGCAGTGGAGAGGCTTCTCAGCCCCAGTGCCCTCCCAGCCCCCTGACCTACCCCGCCATGGCCCAGGCTTTTCCCTGCCTGGTATTCGCCCCACCCTGCTGACATTTTCTCTCCTCTCCTGGCTTCCCCCCACTTTGTCCTCTTGCCCTCGAGTGCCCCACTCTCCCAGCCTGCCTGTGCAGGTAGCCTCGGTGAACTGGAGCTGGGACGCTTTCCACCCGTCCATCCACCTGTCCGTCCGTCCATCCATCCATCCATCCATCCACCCATCCATTCACCCATCTATTCACTCGTCCATCCATCCATCCATCCATCCATCTGTCCATCCATCCGTCCATCCATCCATCCATTCATCCATCCATCCACCCGTCCATTCACCCATCCATTCACTCGTCCATCTATTCATCTGTCCATCTGTCCATCCATCAGTCCATCTATCCGTCCATTCACCTGTCCATCCACCTGTCCATTCATCCATCCATCCACCTATCCATTCATTCGTCCATTCATCCATCCATTCACGTGTCCATTCACCTGTCTATCCATCCATCCATCCATCAGTCCATTCATCTGTCCATTCTCCCGTCTGTCCTTCCGTCCATTCACCCGGCAGACGTGTGGTGAGCACCTGCTTGCTTTATGCTGGCCTCGGAACTGACGACTGTTGGGGGTCAAAGATGTAAGATGTGGTCTCAGAAGAGCTCCTTTCCATTAAGTTTCTCCGTCCTCTTTTATCACAATCCCATTTTGAAATCTTGAAACGTGTGGATTAGCTGGTAAAAGTTAACCATTTTCAACCAAAATTATATAACCTAGCAAGAAAGTGAGCATGGCTAACACTGCCATCCGCTTCCACACCGGGCCGTGAGAACCAGTGTTGGCGGCGAGGGGCTTGGCCTGTCTGCGGGGCCCAGGGGCCAGGCGCCTCAGCTGCCAGTCGCCTGGACTGGTCGCTATGACTTCCTGAGGGAGCATCGGCCCGGGCGCCGGGACCTCTCTCCCAGCCTGGCCCAGGAGAGCGCTGAGAGGCAGCGGCAGCAGACCCCTCTCCACTCTGCTTCCCTGCCCGTGGGAGAGACAGCACCACGAGTCACCTGCCAGTTCAGAGCGGATGCTACGTCCTGTGCGCCGGGACCGCCTCGCAAGGGGTCATGTCCCCGCTGGGGCCACAGCCGAGTTTCTGACAAACCGTTGCTTCGCACGGTCAGGCTAACGGCTCCTGCACCATGGGGGTCCTGACAAGATGGGTGATGGCCACGGGCACCAGCCCGTTGGTTCACCCGCGCTGTAAAGTGCGCTCTTTGGTGACGTTCGCAGCGTTGCGTCGTCCCGTGGGTACCGCTGGTGGGTCAGGCGTGACGGGAGGAAAGCACCTCCAGGTCCAGAAGGGCCCGTGGTGGTGAAGACGAACTCCTGCCCCCTTACAGCTGTGGCTGTAGGTTCAGGGGAGCTCGGCCGGAGGGGCCTCGTGGGAGAGGGAGTGGGCAGCCCAGGTGCTCGGCTTTCCTGGCCTTCGGAGCCCTCTCCCGGGAGTGCCCACCTGACGACGGGGCTGCCGGCGCGCCTCCCTGTGGCTGCGGACCAGATGACCCGGCGCACAAGGGGCAGCGCGGCCACCTGCTGTGCTGCGGCCGCGCACTCAGGCTCTCCCAGAGCCCGGGGGCCAGCCAGAGGGCCACGACTCAAAAGGATAATAGGTTCTGGCCAGAGAATCACTTGGTTCCAAGCCCTGGGTTCCCGTTTCTGGTCAGTACTTGCTACAAGTTTCACATTGCTCAGCTCTGCCACAGGCCCTGAGTGGCCCCTGGTGCGCCTCAGGCGGACAGAGGCCTCATGCGCCGGGGACCCTGCCAGGTCCTGTGGCCCGGTGGCAGAGCCATTTCTGCCGGCGGCTTTCCCAGCTGGATGGCCTGCATTTGCTCTAGGCCCAACCCAAAGCGGCGGCCTTTCTAGGTCACTCAGTAAATGGCTTGGGGCAAGATACCCCTGGTTGGCTTTTTTTTTTTTAACCAGAATTGGGCTATCATGGTAAGGGATACAAAATGCTATAATTTGGACTTCTGGCCAAGATGGAGGCATAGGTAGACACACTGTGCCTCCTCGCACAACCAAGATAGGGACAACAACTTAGAAATAGAATAACAACCAGAACTGACAGAAAACTGAACTGTATGGAAGTTGGACAACCAAGAAGTTGAAACAGACCCGTTCATCCAAGACCGGTAGGAGGGGTGGAGTCAGGCAGCTGGGTGCAGGTTGAGGCATGGAGAGCAGAGAGTGTTGGGACCAGGCTCGAAGGCATCTGGGGCACACAAGACCGCAGCAGGTGGACCCTGAGCGCACAAGCAGCAACTGGCAGACCCTGGCCGAGGGGTGGCAACCGGCAGACCCAGAGAGGCAGGAATTGTGAAGCAAGGCACTACATGCAACCTAGGATCACAACATTGGGAAATAGAGCCTTGGGGCACTGATTGAAAACACCTGTGGGAGTTGAGGCGCAGGGAGAGACTCCCAGCCTCACGAGAGAGGTCCTTGGAAAGTCCCACGGGGTGCACAAGCCCACCCACATGGGAATTAGCACCAGAGGGGCCCAGTGTGCTCGGGGGAAGCAGCAGAAGAGACTGAGGTCCGACAGAGAGCAGAGCAAGCGCCATTGTTCCCTCTCGGACCCCACCCCCACATACAACATCACAACCCAGCGACTGTGGTGCCCCGCCCTGATGAACGCCTAAGGCTCTGCCCCTTATACGTAACAGGCGCGACCAGATCAAAGGAAAAAAAAAAGGTGGTTCAAACAGAATTGAAAGCTCCAGAATCAGTACTTTTAAGTGACCGAGAGATAGCCAACCTATCAGATGCACAGTTCAAAACACTGGTGATCAGGATGCTCACAGAATTGGTTGATTTTGGTCGCAAATTAGATGAAAAAATGAAGTCTACAATAAATGAAGAAAAATGCACAGGGAACCAATAGTGATGGAATGAAAGCTGGGTCTCACATCAATGGAGTGGACCAGAAGGAAGAAAAAAAAAAAAACAATCGAAAAAGAATGAAGAAATAAGAATTCAAAAAAATGAGGAGAGGCTTAGGAACCTCCAGGACACCTTTAAACGATCCAACATCCGAATTATAGGGGTACTTGAAGGAGAAGAGGAAGAGCAACAAGTGGAAAACTTATTTGAACAAATAATAAAGGAGAACTTCCCCATTCTGGCAAAGGAAGTAGACTTCCAGGAAGTCCAGGAAGCTCAGAGAGTCCCAAAGAAGTTGGACCCAGGGAGGATCACACCAGGGCACATCATAACTACATTAGCCAAGGTAAAAATGTAGGCGAGAATCCTAGAAGCAGCAATAGATAAGGAGACACTAACCGACAAAGGAGTTCCCATCAGACTGTCAGCTGATTTCTCAAAAGAGACCTTACAGGCAAGAAGGGGTTGGAAAGCAGTATTCCAAGTCATGAAAGGCAAGGACCTACATCCAAGATTGCTGTATCCAGCAAAGCTTTCATTTAGAATGGAAGGGCAGATAAAGTGCTTCTCAGATAAGGTCAAGTTCAAGGAGTTCATCATCACCAAACCCTTATTTTATGAAATGTTAAAGGGACTTATCTAAGAAAAAGAAGATAAAAACCATGTATGGTAAAAGGACAGCAAACTCACAGTTATTAACAACCACACCGAAAGCAAAACCAAAAGAAACTAAGCAAGCAACTGGAACAGGAACAGAACCACAGGAATGGAGATCACATGAAGGGTTAGCAACGGGAGTGGGAGGAGGGGAGAGGGGGAAAAGGTACAGAGAATAAGTAGCATAGACAGTAGGGAGAAAATAGACGGGGGAGGGCAAGAATAGTACGGGAAATGTAGAAGCTAAAGAATTTATGACACATGGACATGAACTAAAGTAGGGAGCATAATCAATAAACTGTATTTAAAAAAAAGAAAATAGACAGGAGGAGGTTAAGAATAGTGTACGAAACACAGAAGCCAAAGAACTTGCACGTACGACCCATGGACCTGAATTGAAAGGGGGGAGTGCGGGTGGGAGGGGGGGTGCAGGGCGGAGGGAAATGGGGGGGAATGGGACAACTGTAATAGCATAATCAATGAAATATATTTAAAATAAAAAAGAAGTGTACCTGGCTGTTTGAGCTTCCACTTGGAATGCAAAACCTCTGGTGAACGAGCCCGTGAACACATACAAATACAATTCTGCACCAGAATTCCGTTCTGCTGCCCGGGCCAGATAGCCTTGAAAGGGCTCCCGTAGGCTTCCCCTGTGTTTTCTAACAACGCGTCTGCTCCATGCAGTTTCTTCTGAGCGTAGCTCTTCTGCGTCCTGCTGCCGTTCTGCCTCTCACCCCCTGGGCTGTGTCGCACGCATGTGGACTCTGGGCCCTAGCCGATCAGTGGTGTCGTGGGGGGCAGGGCCCGGGCCTCGGCTTTGTCGCTCGGTGCTGTGGACACCCCTGAGCTGACCGAAGTCAGGGAGGCGGGCCCACCCGTTCACTAAACTTAGGAGAAAATGGAATTTGTACACACCAAGTCCCACCACCTTGCTAGATTTTAGTGAGAAATTTAGCCACCTG